CCCCCCCCCCCCCGCGCGTCCCGAGCCCAGCCTGTCCCTCTGGCTCATCCCTGGGGATAGAGAGCAAGGGAGGGGAAGTTGGGGTCCCCCAGAGGGGTGGGAGAGGGCACGCAGGTCCGTCCCCCCAAGAATGAAGCTCAGCGTGGGGTGATCTCCAAGCACTAGCAAGCACCCGGCTCTCATGTCCCATCTCTGCAGCAAAGCAAGTTTGGGGACGCCAGGACGGGTGGGGAAGGGGGGCTGAGAAGGATTGAGGGGGGCACAGGGTGCTGCGCCCAGCCTCGGTGCACCCACAGGGCAGGGGACAGGGCAGTGGGGATGCGCCGCTGGCTGCCTGCCCACCTGCACCCTGGGCGGGGGCCCACGGCCGGGACACAGCAGGCCGCACACCACTCCTGTGCCACCCTCCCCCAGCGCTGCAGGGTCGGGGGACATGGCCGTATGAAACATCAGAGAATCCATACGGGCTTGCCCTGGGAGGCCCGGCGCACGGCCAGTTGTCCCCCGTTCCCAAAAGATTTGGTTATCCCCCCAGTGCTGGATGAAGGGGAAGGAGCCAAGAAGCTGGTGGCTTCTGCAGCGCTCCATCGTCACCGGCCCCATCCCTGCTCCCAGCCCAGCACGGGGACAGCCTCGTTAGCCACAGCCCTCCCGCAGCCCCCCCAAAGGGCTGCAGCAGCTTCACCTGAAAAGGAGGACAGGAGGAGGGGGGGATCCAGCTTACCCCCAACCTTTTGTAATGGAGCAGCTCCACGACCCCCTCGACAGGGACAAAACCACCCCAATTTGGCTCAGCGAGCCCTCGGCTGGCCCGTGGCCCTAATTTCCCCAGGGAAGACCATAGGGGCGGGTGGCACAGCGTGGCTCTGGGACAGATCCAGCACCCCTGGGCGCCGGGGTGTGGGGTAAGAGCAAGGAGGAGATGCAGCCCACGGGCAGCTGGAGATAAGTGGAGACTGCCTGCCCGGACCCGCACGCTGCCTGCCCGGACCCCGAGGCTTTGAGGGAGCAGCACCACGGCAGGAGCTGATGGGAGGGAGGGAGCAGGATGAACCCCAGCACCACTGGCTGTTCCCACTCCCCCCCGGCGTCCTGAGGTTGATCTGGAGCGGAGGCTCCCGAGGAGCAGCCCCACAGCTTGCCCGGGCAGGATCCTGCCCGCAGCGCTGTCCCACAGCCCCACCAACCCAGGGGAAAGGGGAGCCCTCCAGTAGACCCCACCGCACCGAGGAAATCCGCGGTGCCTGGGCTCCCCGAGACCCCACGGGCAGTGCCACACACAGACAGACAGACCCCCTCCCCGCTCCTGGCCGTGCTTACCAAGGAGATTTATTGACTTGCACGGGGAGGATGGGGGGTACTGGTCCCAGCTCCCCCAGCAAGCTGGCAGGGAGGCGGGACGAGGCACGGGCAGGCAGAGCGGGGCACTGGGCAGCCCCTCACCCCACAGCCAGCGCAGCCGGCGGTGGCACG